ACTTCATCAATCTGCCTGTTCTGCTCCCCCTCTGTCCCTGGTGAATCCTTTCGCCCTCTGCATCTCTGGCCTGTACCCCAGTTATGTATGCATAAATAACTAAATCTTTAAAAAAAAATACTTATTGTCTTATTGTCCAAGACAATAAGAACTTGGGTTCAGTAGGATCAAGGCTTCTAAACAAGATCATGGTACTGCTCCTTTGTAGTAAAACTGGAGGCTTTGAAGAGATGAACAAATAAGGATAGAAGAAGACAAAAATGCTTACTTGCTACTTTCCCATTTATGCTGCTGTAATGTGCCTCAAAGATCTAGAGAGATGGTGGAGAGAAAATCAGAAGGTCTGAACACAAATAAGACTGAGGCTCATTCTAATAGAAACAAGGAGATCATTCATCCAGATGTTGCTTGTGCTGGTTTGGATGAAACATTAGTCTTACTTGCCTGCAATGCTAGAAATAACCTGCAATTTCTGTGAAACCAGTAAAACTTTCAATATTTCCAAGCCCCGCACCATGTATCATTTCTATAAAAGAAACCAATAACTAAATATCCAGTTAGACCAAGAGTAAATTTGTTCATAGGTTCCCTGGCCTTCCTCCCTCCCTCTGAGATGATAATCATACTACATAACAAAATCATGAAATAAAGTCTTGCAGGTTTTAGGCTACAGGAAATGGACACCGAAGTCACCTTGACTACTCAAGAAGTCAAATAGTTAGTACCATGTCCAGACTTCCACGTGTGTCAAAGTGGCAACGGACTATTGATTAAGTACCTATGACATCACCACATACATTCTCTGCAGTTTTACACTAGTGCTTCAGAAGGTGTCAGTAGCTCTGTTATGAAGAAGTATTCTGAGAGGTTAAGTGACTAACCAAAAGTCACACATCTAGAACATAAAAAGAATAGTAAGGATTCAAGTCCAGTATTATTACTGGGTACCAATACTGATGATTCTTCTATACAAAAACAGCCAATAATCAAGTGCCAGAATGACCACCCAAGCTTGTGTGACCAATATGGAACGTTGTAACACCTGCACCTAACTCTTTCCCTTTGTGCTGTTCACTGAAATCTGTGGTGTAGTTCTTTGTTTTGTTCTATGCACTGAGGTGCCATTCTTGTTAGAGAACACAATCTGTTCTCAGAGATTGTTAGTTCACTTTATATATCAAGTATAAAAGAATAGAATCACTTCTTCCATGAGCATGAGCTAACCTATGAGAAAACCAGTCATCCAGCCAGAACCAGATAAGCAAACACCTGCTGCAAATTGTTCCCCAGAAGCTGTAGAGACAGAATATAAGAGATGAAAAACAACTATGAAATCTTAAGCTCTCAGAGTATCTTCCACACTTCAAAAAACAATGTTTTTGTTTGCATCATCTTGGCTTTCCTCATTTTCCCCAGTGTGGAGACTGGAATGAAAATATGTCAATTAATTCACCTAATGCCACAAAGCTAATAGTGGTGGAACTATTATTTGAAACCAGATCTTCTGCATTAAATACTCAGTATTTGTGGGAAAGAATGAGCGCACTCACTACATATGCTTAACTCCTTCCATTCCTGACTCTTCATCAGCTTTCTTCTAATAATGGTCATATATTTCAAAGCAGAGTGTAGGTTTTCTATTAGGGTTAATTTCCTGTTTTCCATCTGCCAGTGAACTCCACTCTGTAAAACAGTCCAATACTCTTTCTATTATGCCAACTGAGAATGCCTATATAATAATCCCATTTCTCTTCAGGATTCACAAAGACACAGATGAGTTTGGGGACTGACTCCTAAGTCAGGTCTGCTTCCAGGAGTTAGCTTTTCAATCATACAGTATATGGAGATATTTTCATAAACAGAGCTTAGAACTCAACCATGTACATTTCCTTATTCATAGAGAAAGTCTAAGAAGTGGCCACCCAAGCTTGTATACTTCCTCAAGGATTTACGATCTTTATTCAGGACTTTAGTCTGTTCCTCCTACCTATAGGCAAGCAGTACAACCTAGAAGAAAATTTGAGTTATTCTTAAAATAGAATCCCAAGCACTTCCTCTCAAACTAGTATGCTCAGCTCAGAAAACAGGCATAGAACCTTAAAGAACTAGAACTAGGAAAGCTAGTGTGCAGAAGTACCTCAGGATACCAGGTGGTTATTCCCTGCTTGCTTCATACACTCAGTATCCCAGTTGTCACAACTCGGACTCAATTGGACAACTGCTAGCTAAGGAAGACTCCTTTCCTTGAGTTCATGTCCCAACTTATAAAGTCCTTCCTTATACCTCGCCACCACTCCCAAGACAGTTCAACAATCTCCAGAAGGAATTTTTTTGAATCATCAATGGTGTCCTTGCCCTTCTGAGACTACTATTAACTAGATAATTATAAAGAAGCTAGTTCTTTTGGGGGTGTTTATCATCTGAAATCAAGTCCCCACATGGATGATGTCTCGTTTTGGGCTCTAGCATCTAACACAGCGAAGATACTCTGAAAACATCAGTTGATCTCTCTGAATTCCTCTCTCTAGTCTCCTCTCAGCTACCGTCTATGGAATGAGGAACTGTCACCCAAAATTAGTTATGTTAGGTACTTCATGCCATGTGATTGCAGAGCAGTGCCTTGACTGGACACCAGTGTTACAATTCTGGCCAAGTCTAGGATGCACCACTAGTTTCTGCCTAGTTGAGGAGTCATGTTGGTGCTGGGGCTGGTTCAGGCCTCGCCTAAGAGGTGTGACTATAAACTAATGAGGCTGACTTTATGTAAACAAACACACCAGAAAGTCTACAATCCAAACGCATGTTATCCGTTAACATGGTCCTCCTGG